ATGACATGACTAGCCTGCACCTCCTGGATCGTCGTCATCGTCGTACGATTGTCGCTTTTATCTTTGTGATCTTCGTATCGTGGTTATACTCAAAATCATCGTCGTAATGTATCACGTACGTTTCACTCCCTTGTAATATGCGATATTTATAATTTATCTACAGGGTCACCCCTTCCCCCCAAATACAACCCTAAAAGATGAAAATGCTGAAAAAGTCATGTAAACAGCACATTCGGTTTCTGAGAAAAGACAACTCATTTTCGGTCCATTACCAAGGTAAAGGGATTGACAGTGTAACTATTTGTGCATGAAACGCATGTAGCGCATTGTGTCCTAATCCTTGCATACAACACGACAAATAAAGAAGAGTACAAAGGAATTTGATGGAAATACCTAATTTTTTTTCCACCTGAAAGGGTAACTTATCCATTTAGTCCCATTTGAAACCTTTTCAGCATTATAAATATGTCAAAATATTAAAGAAACTGTACAAATAAAAGACAATTGCACAGTGGGCTCACGGTAACATGTTTCACTGTTTGAAGCACCATTGGAAAGGATGAACAATCACTTCTTTTACATAATTGGCATTTTCTCGGCAACCCAATGTTCTGTGATGTTTTCATTATTTGAAAGGAAACAAACTCAGCCTTAATGTGATATCCCAAAACATCAAAATTGACAGATCGCGTTTTAAAAAAAGGCAAATGTTTCAGGGTTGCATTTCTTGAGGTTCACCTGCATAGGTGTGGCGGGAGCTTGACTGCGCCCTCGGATATCGGGCCTATACCAGACACTTCATCTTGCTAGATACCAAGTTTAACCGTTTTTTAGCAGCAGTCGTAATTTAAAGAAATATTTACTTTAAATGTATGTTTTGTATTAAGCAGAAAACAAAATAAATGTTAACATTTATTCCACAAATACATGTATACAGTGATTGAACTAAATCAGAACTAAATAATAACAACGGCTCCCAAATTAAGTGGTCTATGACCGATACAGCACAAATATATCTTTTGAGTCGCATCATCGGTGCAAAATCGGCAGCCCTCATTGCGTATGTAAATAACCTTAGGAGTCGCGCATGCGCAACTAAAAGTAGGGCTGAAACGGTGCGTGGTATGTCAACATTGTCGTCATCGTCGCAATGAACGTCGTACTGTTGTTATAATCGCCAACCACTATTTTATAAGTGATGAGTTTTTGACACTCTTGAGCGAACTCTCTGCCAAACATCTGGTACTTACCATTTCACAATCCACCCCCAGCACAATCAGTGACAGCATGGCTAAAATGGAAGAAATCATCAGAATCAGGCTTGCAGAATACTGTGCAAACTCATTGATATGATAATCCGCACAGATATATCAATAGTCCAGTACGGATTGACATGAACACAATTTCCCAACTTAACATTTTAGTTAACATCCACCCACACCAAAGCTTGACATGATTGCCAGGGGGGCATACCTTTATGTTCCCCAGTCTCCAACCCTAACCGTAAGCCTAACCCTAACCCTTACCCTAACCCTGAGTACTGGGTAGCACAGGGATTGGCGAACATAAGGACTTGGGAGTATCGGGTGGACCCCGTTGCCATGATATTCAAGCACTTAAATGCACCCGAAATGCCCCATGGCCCATGTACTCATGTCTCAGTAGAAACAATGCTTAGCCAATACATGCTTAGCATAAGTTGGTCGGATTCCAATATGGGCAGTAGAGCATTGCAGCTTCATCAATACACATGCAATAATGTATGATGTTGTTGCTTGTAATTAACACTAGCGGGATGCCGCGCTTCGCGCGGCACCCGCTAGATGGGTGGAGTTGACTGTTTCGTAATAATTACTGTATACAATGAAATCTCGATAATTTAAACTCCAATAACTCCAAACAACTGTTAAGTCAAATAAAGAATCAGACCCTCTGCTGCACGCGAGCCTATTTGGACTCGCCATTAGTCTCGCCCAAGTTGTATTTGCGTTTAGCAACGTGCGCGCACATAACATTTCCTGCGGAGATTGTGCGAGGGTCCAGGACATATTGTCAATATAGGGGAAGGGGCTAGCTAGGGTGAAGGGTGCTAGTTGGAACGCCCAATTTCCGTAAAACCCGTCAACCGTGTCACCAATATTTCCGGGGATGGGGAGAAATATTTCCAGGGATGGGGAGAAATGGTTTTTGTTATAGAGGGGAGATGGTGACATTGAAATTGTTGATATTGTGGGGGTTTATGTTTGTGCTGGGATTCATACCATTTAAATGTTGTTTTAAATTGCGGGCCAATTAGGAAGGTCTTGCTGTCAACAGTTGAATGAAATTAAGTATTTATTGCCGACCGATTGTCTTATGCGATGTCTCATTATATAAAGCTCATAAATAATGTTGTGCTAGAATATTGTCCAGTCAATTTGAATATTGAATTTTCAAGGTGCCAAACCATTAAGGACGTATACACCAACTGTACAAATAGGTAATTTAGATGAAACGCGGTTTGATCTTGGCCTATACAACGTCGTATCCATCGTTCTCACTACAGAGGAGAGAAGGGGGCAGCCAGTGGGGGTGGGGGTTGAATATTGTGTGGGCGTCGCCAGGATTTTTTCTAGAGGGGGTAAAACATATTTTTGCCCAAAAAATGCCTGTTTTTCTCAACACATTCTCGATTTATCAGTTTCAGAGGGGGGCAGGGACATTTTGCCCCCCCCCAACCCATTAAATTCACACCACTATGACTTCACGC